CTGGCCATTCAAATGTACCACGATCACTACTAACTATAGTTTCCATGCTACAATTAGCAACAGGATCTAAAAGGTTGCATATATAACAACAATAATAACACTGTAAATAGTGTATGAATAAACTTAATGTACATGTTAAAGATTACAAGATCTACTGTAACTCACCACATAGACAAGGAGAGGAAGTAGGAGTTGAAGATACTACAAATGAGGAAAAAGAGGAAGTAGGAGCTGAAGATCGAAAAGAGGAAGTAGGAGCTGAAGATTGAAAAGAGGAAGTAAGAGCTGAAGATTGAAAAGAGGAAGTAGGAGCTGAAGATTGAAAAGAGGAAGTAGGAGCTGAAGATTGAAAAGAGGAAGTAGGAGCTGAAGATTGAAAAGAGGAAGTAGGAGCTGAAGATTGAAAAGAGGAAGTAGGAGCTGAAGATTGAAAAGAGGAAGTAGGAGCTGAAGATTGAAAAGAGGAAGTAGGAGCTGAAGATTGAAAAGAGGAAGTAGGAGCTGAAGATACCACAAATGACGGAAAAGAGGAAGTAGGAGCTGAAGATACCACAAATGTGGAAGAGAAAAAGGAAAAAATAGATGAAGAGAGAATTGAATTCGTGAGATATAAAGAGAGGAAAAGATTCAAGTCTATAATTGAGAAAAAAATTATTTAAAGTATGCTGTTATAAAGAGGATAAAAACAATAATGAATGTAAAATAAATTAATTCACTGTCACTCACCAGTACAGTTGTCTCCCTCATATCCAGTGCCAGTACAATCACAAGTATAATTATCAGGAGGCAAATACTGTATACACTGTCCTCCATTCTCACACGGATTGTCTCTATCACAGATACTAGTGGAATCACAGCCAGTACAATCAGATTTAAGAGTATAGCCAGAAGGACAGGTTAGATTGCAAGCTATAATTGATATAATAAATACAGAATACATGTAGAAATACACACTTACTACAAACAAATCCATTATCAATACTGGCCATATAATTGAGACCAAGTGATGTACAATCTGGTTCAGTCCTGCACTCATCGTCAGGACTAAATGTTAAGCAGCAAGAATCAGCACCAAACCCAGTGCACCTTCTTAAACCAGCATTACAACTACTGTTGCACTCTATAAAGAAAAAGAGGAAATACAGTTATAGCACGTAAAATTTAGCTCACGTCCACATCTGTCATCACCATAGTCAAGTGCACATATGGCACAGTCAGATCTAGAAACATTTTTTGGAACAAGAGGATCATGCAACTCTTCATCATAAGGAGACCAAGTATCATTAAAACAAACCAATTGAAATATACTGGTATTTTGAGGTGCTCCCTGATAAGGAGTATACACAGCTATGGCAGAAATAGAATAATAAGTATCCTTCATGCTTCCTTGAGCTTTACAGACAATGTTAAACTCCATTATAGAAACATTGTATCCATTTTCAATATTCCCATTGGTAATTATCAATAACGTTTCCAGTGACATCCTTACATCTACATTTGATGGTGAAGGGAGAAGGCATGATTGTGGATCCTGAGCAACCAATGAGGAGTAAAAAATAAAAAGAAAGCAACCAAAAAGACACTTCTTCATAGCTACAACTACTAAATTTTTTGAATGAGTGAACTAGTGTACACTGACTATTTATGGCACAAAATTGAGTAGGAATGTCTCAGTTTAATTCCACAACTGTCTGTTACCAGCAACTATAGTAACTACATGCATCATACTACATGTTACAAGATGACAATTATACCTACATGTACTAGTGTAACAATATCAAATGCATATGCAGTCATGCAAAAAATTTGTAGTTAGTCTACTATTACCTTAGCAATTAATTTTTATTTACTCTAAATAGGCCAGTACAACTTGACAAGCACTGATACACATGATAATACAAATATGTACTAATGAAGCTATAGGAAGAAGTGGGAGACTGGGGATGTGGTTATAGGTGGGGGAATCCTACACCAACACCAATTCATTAATGATTATGTGTAATTTTATATAAATCAAAATTAATACTGAATAACACAATCTTATGCCATGTACATTATAAATCTCTCTTATAAAAATGTTTGGTTTCTGACAATGATGATTGCTATAGTTTCACTTCTTATCCTTATCAAACAAGTCGACTTCAATTTTTTCTACGTAGTGTTTCCCTCGTACTGTAAGATACCGTTGAAATCGAATGCTACCAAACTCTGACATCATCAATTCATCATCATCAATAAAACCATTATCTCCATCATGCATGCTATTCTCTTCCTCTAGACTTGAGTCTCTGAGAACTCTTGTAAAATCTCGAGCCTCTTCAGAGCTTGTGTCACTGTTTAAGTTATTAGGTGATGATGATAGAGCTTGTGAAATCAAATTAGAATTATCATTTAAGGATGAGGTCTGGTTGTATTTGGCAGCGGCTGTAGTTACTGCAGTGGAAGGTGGTTTTTTTGCTCTCCAGTCACAGAATAGTGATACATAGTTATTTCTGACATCACTGTTTAATAGGACAAAGAAGAGAAATATAAAGAAGCCTTGGAATGTATTGAAGAAAGCAAAGAAGAACTGAATCATGAATGAGACGTTAGGCTCAGTAATGAACGTGAAGACAGCAAACAGCCACGTGAGACCAAAGAGTATCAAGATACCAAAATAAGATATCAGCATTTTGATTGCTTCATATTTGGTGAGTGCAGGCTTGCCCATTCTTTTGTTCTTGTCAATCGTGTAAAGGAAAATAGCACGAATGATGAGGATGTACATTACCACATTAAAGATAAATATGAGAAGAATTGGTAGTAGAAATGCAACAAGAAATGGTATCAAGTCACTAATGAAACAACTATGTAGCAAAAAGAGAAAAATATG